GTTAGTAATATTTCTATTTTGTACAGTATAAGATCTTTTTACAATGACAATGTACAAAACGTTTTAGAGAAACGATAAAACGTTTTCCATGTTTGACAAAGCCCGACATGAAAGAAACTATACCATGAGTTCGAATTAGTTTGGCACATGTCAAAAATAGAGGCAAAAAATTGTTTAAAAATTAAAAAAGCCCTTTATCATTTGGCGATTTTCTGAAAATTAGGTACTTGAATTACACAAAAACATCGAAATATAGGTAGTTTTCATATATTGTGCATGAACTATTTAAATGTTAAAAATTTTCCGCGCTTGTAAAACTGAGACATCGTTCTCTCGCTGGCATACATTTCTCATGTGTATAGATTTCGGCATGTACATGTCAAAAATAGAGGCAAAAAAATGTGTAAAAATTAAAAAAGCCCATTATCATTTGGCGATTTTCTGAAAATTAGGTACTTGAATTACACAAAAACATCGAAATATAGGTAGTTTTCATATATTGTGCATGAACTATTTAAATGTTAAAAATTTTCCGCGCTTGTAAAACTGAGACATCGTTCTCTCGCTGGCATACATTTCTCATGTGTATAGATTTCGGCATGTACATGTCAAAAATAGAGGCAAAAAAATGTGTGTGTAAAAATTAAAAAAGCCCATTATCATTTGGCGATTTTCTGAAAATTAGGTACTTGAATTACACAAAAACATCGAAATATAGGTAGTTTTCATATATTGTGCATTAACTATTTAAATGTTAAAAATTTTCCGCGCTTGTAAAACTGAGACATCGTTCTCTCGCTGGCATACATTTCTCATGTGTATAGATTTCGGCATGTACATGTCAAAAATAGAGGCAAAAAAATGTGTAAAAATTAAAAAAGCCCATTATCATTTGGCGATTTTCTGAAAATTAGGTACTTGAATTACACAAAAACATCGAAATATAGGTAGTTTTCATATATTGTGCATGAACTATTTAAATGTTAAAAATTTTCCGCGCTTGTAAAACTGAGACATCGTTCTCTCGCTGGCATACATTTCTCATGTGTAGAGATTTCGGCGTGGATTTCGGCATGTACATGTCAAAAATAAAGGGAAAAAAATGTGTAAAAATTAAAAAAGCCCATTATCATTTGGTGATTTTCTGAAAATTAGGTACCTGAATTGCCCAAAAACATCGAAATATAGGTAGTTTTCATATATTGTGCATGAACTATTTAAATGTTAAAAATTTTCCGCGCTTGTAAAACTGCAACATTGCTGTAAACATTACGCAATTTGGACATTTCACTAAGTTGTATGCTGCGAGTGTAAGTTCAAAACTGAAGAGAGATATAAACAACCTTTAACATAATAAAATATTGTTCCTTATATTTGAATCTCTGAATATGTTAATGAAAATGTTTCAATGACAATGTTTTCTAAATTGAAAATTGTTGCCTTTAATATCAAAACAAGGTCATAAGTTGTGTCATATTTGTAAATTACGCAAGTGAGCACGGACCGTAATTTTCGGGGCTTATCCTAGTCATAAAACTTTAAATTTAAAAAAAAGCCCACAAAAGCCCATTTTCTAACCTTTTCAGGTCGAAAGTATAACTAATTATAAATAATTTAAAGGGTTGAAATTAACTTTTTTTCCACTCGGTCTGGCTAAAAAACTCGACTACAATTTGTCATTGCCTGCAAAATGTAAATATATTTTATGATAAAATCGCTGTGCCTTCAAATAATTTCACTGTTTAAAAGTGCTTTTCCAACTCCACCGATATAATGTGAAATACTAATTAATTGCCAGAGTCTCTATTTTATAACAAATTAATTTTTTTCCATTTTAAGGATAGACTTACCTTTACAAATTATACTTTTTTGTTGCCCTTTAAATATTTTTATTTCCTCTTTTTCCTTCACTTCATCTTTAAAAATCCCGCTTGATCCGCGCATTTCGCACGCTCGCGCCAGTCTCCCGTGCATCACACATGGATCAGGCAAATATTAGCGCGTTTCACCGCCCGTGTTTTACTACGCCCTGGTTTTAACTACGGCAGTTAGCGCTAACTGCAGTGAACTTTAACTACGCTTTAACAACACAACCGGCCCAGTTGAATATATATTTGCAGTTTATAGATATCATTACTGATTACGTATTGTTCGGAATGAAAAATGAAGATTAGTTGACATAGTATATGCTGTGTAAGGGAGGATTTACAATTGTGCGCATATTAATCAATTAATTAAGCGTTTATTCTTGTTTATAAATTACAAGAGTACCATGCCTTCCTTTCAGCAAATGTTCATTCTCGCTTATCGACTGCGACTCCTGTAAGAAGTTAAAAAGCTTCTTAGGATCAGAATCAACTTCATCTTTGACATTTGAAAAGCAGGCAAGACAGTCGAGCAAATGTTTACCAGCCTCGGAAGTGGAATTAAAACATTCAGTGATGTCAAGGCTATATTCTGGAGAGAACAACTTAAAATTCCAGCCATGCTTTTTCACGATCTCTTCTACTTCTTGAATAGTAAGGTAATCGTTGCTTTCCTCTTCCTTCCGTTCACTATTCCTGTTCTTTCCGTAGATTTCTCGTATTTTAAACCAGAAATCTTGGTTGTTCCATAGCGTTACCAATATAACACCATCTTGTGCTACCACGTTGTT